TCTCTCTCTCTCTCTCTCTCTCTCTCTCTCTCTCTCTCTCTCTCTCTCTCTCTCTCTCCATTTCCCACACAAGATGGTAAGTGGTCGTAAAATTGAAGAGAAAGATCAAACCGATACCCCTTCCCAGGTAGCACTCRCGGAAGAATTTGGCCAAAACGAGGATGATTGAGGCAATGATAATGAGGAGCAGCCATCAACTGCGGCAAACAAAGAGTGGTGGTACAGAAGCAAACGGTGCGTGAACAGGAAGGAGGGGGGGGGGTAAGGGCATTGACACAACCCCCAAGGAGAATGGAGGGCATCACTGCAATGCTATGGGCAAGGACGACGAGGGGCTGTGTTTACCAGCAGAGGCGAGGGAGAGGATGATAGAAACAATGATAATGACCAGCAGCCATCAACTGTGGACAAACAAGGAACTGGTTGCAGTAAAGAAGCAAACGGTGCCCGAACAGGCGCGTTGATACAACCCCCAAGGAGAAAGGAGGGGATCATGCCGATCCTCTGGAAAAGGAGGATAAGGTGCCGTTTACAAGGGGGTAGGGTATGACCATACAGAATAGGAAATCATCTGAAACGAACTGAAATGACATCAACTGAACTAAATTGGACTGAATTGGACTGAATTGGACTGAATTGGACTGAATTGGACTGAAATGGACTGAAATGGACTGAATTGGACTAAACTCAAAATGAACCAAATTGCTAGGCAAAGATGACAGACCGACTGTTTTTCTTGAGAGGGTGAACGATCCATCTTTCCCGTGGCGATAAATTGATAATAGAGAGGGGTCAGTGGGGGGGGGGGGGGGGGGGAAGAGGCTCTGCTCAGTCGTGCCGCCAGAAATAGCAACCTTCACAAAGTCTCCGCCCTGAATCATGAAGTCCTTGATCACCCGGTGAAATGCGCAATCTTTGTATCCTTGAGGTATGCCTCCTTTCCTGCACAAGGAACAAACAAAATACAGCTATTCTTTCTTCTCTCTTCTAAAGAGACCATGAATCACAAAGTCATCATTTCCTATTCTTTCTTCTCTTAGCTTTTGACACAATGATTCACATCAGTTCACTGCACAAAGTCATCATTACCACTACGATAACACACATCAAGCAGAATAGTTAACACTCATTTTCGGTGGTAGAATGTCTGCAGCGCTCTGGCTATGGTGAGCAAATCTATTTATAGCGCACGCCCTGCGTATTCCATCCATCTATACTACTTTCTATAGACATGAAACACAGGCCATGAAGGGCAATCACATGCTCCGACCCCGGTATCGCATCTGGCAATGGCCCAGTTTGCAGTGCAGGGCTAATATTCAGCCAACAAAGTGCTGGTAATGGGGGTGGGAGGAGGGGAGAAGAGAAGCAGGGAGGAGGGAGAGGGATCTCTTCCTGATTGCAGTAGAAAGTAATGAATCTGGACAGCACACGTTCCTCCTGCGACTAGGAGAGAGGGTTGAGCAGGGTAGTGAAGGCGAGGATGGCTATGGAATCAGGAAGTATGCAGACACAGAGAGAGAGAGAGAGAGAGAGGTCGAGAGAGAGAGAGAGAGGGAGGGCGAGAGAGAGACAGAGAGACAGAGAGACAGAGAGACAGAGAGACAGAGAGAGAGAGAGAGATGAGAGCAGGGGAGACATCAATAACATCTCCGAGCTAAGCTCGACAATCCTGCACAAGCTTTACATGTTCTTTAGACCTCTAAGGTGAATGCAAAACTTCTTTCAAGCTTCCTTCCTCCTTGAAACTATGCAGAGAGAGAGAGAGAGAGAGAGAGAGAGAGAGAGAGAGAGAAGAGCAGGGGAGACATCAATAACATCTGAGAGCTAAGCTCAACAATCCTGCACAAGCTTTACATGTTCTTCGGACCTCTCAGGTGAATGCAAAACCTCTTCCAAGCTTCCTTCCTCCTTGAAACTATGATCCTCTCCCTGCAGCACTGCACCTTACTGTGAAACCAAGACAGTTTTCATTGCCGGTTATCTGGCATGAGCCTGTGTTTTTTTGATTGTTTGTTTGTTTGTTTGTTTGTTTGTTTGTTTGTTTGTTTGTTTGTTTGTTTCCAACGATTGAACAGGTGCGGAAGTAACCTGTCCTACCGTCTTGCCCTGAACATAACGCACCCTGAAAATGAATGTATACAAGCTATCTTTCTGGTTCGGTACAGCCAGCAATCGAACAGATGCGGAAGTAACCTGTCGTACGGTCTTCGCCCGAACATAACGCAACCTGAAAATGAATGTATACAAAGCATATCTTTCCCGTTCGGTACAGCCATAATCAAGTTGCGTTGTATTCGGGCGAAAACGGCAGTTGGAAAGGGCTGGCCATAAATTACCGTCTCTCGAGAAGGAGGACATCATCCACACGACGTACCGGTCTAACTACATGTCAGTTGGTGCTACAGTTGGTGATCTGCAGGGAGCATTTCCAGCTGCTATGCTGGGTATGCTGGGTATGCTGGCTTTGCTGGGTATGCTGGGTATGCTGGCTTTGCTGGCTTTGCTGGGTATGCTGGGTATGCTGCCTTTGCTGGGAATGCAATGCGTCGTTCTACAGATGAATGCAATGCGTCGTTCTACAATTGCATGCAATGCGTCGTTCTACAGATGAATGCAACGCGTCGCTCTACAACTGAATGCAATGCGTCGTTCTACAAGTGAACGCAATGCGTCGTTCTACAATTGGTGCTTTCTAACGGCTGCGCACTTAGCAAGCAGCTACCTTCTTCACCGGAATAGGACGCCCGGTAATTATGGCCGTATCTGGACTGAAAGCCACGTCAAATACAGCTATAATGACCAGGCGTTCTATGCGGGTGAAGATGGTAAGGTAATCCTGCTATGCTGGCTATGGACCCCGTGCTCTAGGATGTGTAGCATAGCACTGGCTATGTCGTTTGGCGCTCTGCATTCCTTCAGCAGCATAGCCTGCTTCTTTCCTGGCTATGCTATTTCGTGCTTAAAATTCAAAAATATCCTGCTGCTATACTACCGTTGTCACCCAAATAGAACGCCCGGTCATTATAGCTGTATCTGGACTGAAAAGTGCACCATATATGGCTATAATGACCGGGCTATAATGACCGGGCGTTCTATGTTGGGTGAGGACGGTAGCTGTGACACCTGGTGCTCTGCATTCAGCATAGCCTGCTGCTACACTGCTATGCTGGCTATGGTGTTTGGCGCTCTGCATTCAGCATAGCCTGCTGCTATACTGACATGTGGGCTATACAATTCGGTGCTCTGCATTCAGCATAGTCTGCTGCTATATTGCTATGATATGCTACGCTCCCTATGCCATTTGCTGCTCTGCATTCAGCATAGTCTGCTGCTATACTGCTATGCTGGCTTTGCCAGTGGTGCTATACTGCTGTGCTGGCTTTGCCAGTCGTGCTATACTGCTGTGCTGGCTTTGCCAGTTGTGCTATACTGCTGTGCTGGCACACGATCCATTGGGCTTCTCCCTTTTTTTGTTAAAAGGGCGACGGCCTTTAGATATCATCATCATTGATTGAACTGACCGGCCCTACTTAGGCAATTCAGAATGATTTAAATTTATTATATTCATCTGAAGCTATCTGGAATCGAGCCTGAGTCTGTATTCCAAGTTTCAACGGTTCAGGGGTGTACCTCATTGAGCCCTCAGGCAAAATGCATGACGGTGCGAATGGTATCTTGTAAAAAATACGCATGACGTGCTTCGGGACAAGCGTTAAAATTGGAAGGATACAGAGCACGGGCAAATTAGCAAATGGCCCCTGTGCAAGGATGACACGAAAGAAGAGAAGGGCAAAAAAAAAAAAAAAGCCAACGAATCTGAGTAACCGCCATCCTAGATATGCCTCCTCCTCCTAAGGGCCAGACCTCACTGAAGACAACAACGTACAGGCATTGTTTGCTGATGAATCTGGTCAGGAACACATTGTTTGCTGATGAATCTGGTCAGGAACACATCGTTTGCTGATGAATCTGGTCAGGAA